TGTGAGTTTCATGTAATTTATACCTTTACTTTTATGGTTTTATTAATTTAATAATTTTTTATCGATTTAGTTTATATTAAATTTAAATGTTATTTTATAGAACATACGAAGATGAAATACAATAAGCTAAATGATGTTTTAATCATCGAATTGGTTTTAATATAAGTTTAAACTTTTAAACTTTAAATGACATTTTAATCAAATTTAAAAATAAAAAAATAAAAAATAAAAAATTTAATCACACCTTAATTAAATTTCGTAATATTAATAAAATAACAATATATAAATGAAATAAAACAAAACAAAAAATAAAAATGTGGAAGTCGCGTACAGTACAATGTACGCGACTTCCAAAAAAATAAAAATAAAAAGGTGAAAGTCGCGTATAATGTACGCAACTTCCAACTAATCACCTGCCATGTTTGTACGGAAATCGCAAATATTGTACGCGAGTTTTGACTTTTATTTTAACCTAACCTATTTTTGTCAATAGTTTTGAAAATATAACTTACCTTTGAATTTATTTATTTAAATTACATTTATTTTGTAGTTTTTTTTAAACTAACATTATTTTTGTAATTTATTTTTAAAACTCGATTAGTTTAAAACTTTGTCCGGGTGGATAACCAATTTCTAACCTTTTTTTTTATCGGCCTCTAAATTTGCTATAGAGTTCTATTATTATGGACTAAAGAGTATAAATTTACATTGTCCCAAAAATAAAGAAAGTAATAATAAGAAATTTGAGATAATTTTTTAATATACATTCGATTTTTATACTTCAACCCTTTAACTAATCAAGTTTAATAACAACATGAAATTAAATCACGGTAATTGACACTTATCTCGAATTAAAAAATTATTAATTCGAATTCCTCGACTCCCACTATTCGTACTAAACTAATAATAATGTTTTAACTTTGTTTAATTTTTGTCCCTCGATTTTTTAAATAAACATTTTAAAAAGAATCAAATATATCCATAATAATAATAGTATAGTCAAAACGAGTATATATGTAATTGACATATCAGTTCATCCCCTATCATTACTAATAAAATAATAATAATAATAACATAAATTTTAAAAGACTCTTAATTTTTTTTCTTTCTAAATTTATGGTATACATACGAAGCTTATAGCTAAGAATATAACGAGATAACATTTCATTCTCCTTCTTTCTCCAACAGAACGGAAAAAGGAAAAAAAAAAAAAAAATCCAGATGGCTGTGAGCTTGTCCTGCCATGCCGCTCTTCACTTTCAACGTCAAGGTCCGCTTCCAGCGCCCAAACATCTATTATGAAATGTTACTTCCCATTTTTCTTCTTTTCACATTCCCTAATTTCTGTTCTCTCTTCGTTATTTTTACTTCTCAGCTGCTCCCAAACATAAGAACCTCGACAATGTCAAGAACATCGTAAAACGAATTGGGATTGCTTCAGTTCAATCTTCTCCTCTTGAATCCCTCCGAAATGGCCATTGGGTCAAGCTTATTTGTGGAGCAAGTTTCGAGGTTAAAATTAACAAAATACCCTCAAACCCCGCCTCCCCAATTCGTCTTCTTCACATCAAAGTAAATGTTTGTTTTCTTTTTAGGATGTGGTTGATATCAGAAATCTCTCTCTGGTTTACACTCTTGCTGGAGGTACTGATGCTAAAATGTCTGTCTCCAAAAAGTTTGCTGTGTCTGTTTTCCTCTGATTTTACTGAGGACTTGCAGTTGATTGTATTGACTGTGCCGCTGATGCATCGATCATCAGTGCGGTGAATGAGGGAATTCAAGCGGCAAGAGGTGTTGCAGCCGTTCGTAGGCCTTGGGTGATGATCAGTGTCAATGATGATCAAGATCTTCATTTCCGTAAAGCTGGTAATTTCCTCTTCTTTGGAAGACTTTCACTTTTTGGCTTCAGTTTATATCTGACCCTAGATTGCTAAAATAATGTTAGGGGAAAAGGTTTTTAAAATGGCTTGTTGATCTAACAGGTGTTTACCTTCAATTATGTGTCTAGCAGGCACTTTTTAAAGCCGGGGAAACTATGACCAACCCTAAGATTGGAAATTTAGGGACTTATTAAATACTTTAAAAGTTTGGCTTAGACACAACATCGAAAGCTTAGGGACCCATTGGACACTTTTTAAAGTTTGTGATCGGAACTTGTAATTTAAACTAGTTATTATCTTGCAGAGTTTGATCCAGAGAACTGTCCAGGTGACTGTTCAAGACCTTGTGAAAATGTTTGCCCTGCTAATGCAATATCACTTCAGGAAGAAACAATGCCACAGCTTCCGCAGGTGGCCAGTCTATCTGGAGTATTGAAGGTTGTTTTTCTTGTCTCTTTTCTCTTAGGTTTTTCAAACTGGTTTATCAATGAACTTATCAGCCCTGTGAATCTCTGCCCCCTGCCTTGCAGGGTGGAGTAATCAGCGAGCGCTGTTATGGTTGTGGCCGATGCTTTCCAGTCTGCCCATATGATAAAATAAGTATGTCAAGTTCATGTCACCTTAGTTTGTCACATTCCTATTTTTTTCTAACCAAATGAAGTTCGTGTATTCTTCGTGCTGCACTGCTGCTGATGTTGTTAACTTGTTCGAATTGGTGCAGAGCTAGTAACATACGTAAGAGATGCAGCTACTACTGCTGAACTTATAAAACGATGCGATGTTGATGCTTTGGAGATTCATACCAATGGGAGGTATGTATATATAAATCAGAATTTGAACTTTTAATATTCAATGTGACACTTTTGAGAATACTATATTGACCTATTTCTTTTAGGCAAACCACTCCTTTTCAAGAACATTGGGATAGATTAGGGGACGCATCCAAATATCTAAGGCTAGTTGCAGTAAGTGTTGATTATGTGCCTTCTCTCTCTTTATAATTTGGACAATTTTGTCCTCTTCCACTCGCTGAATGTGCAGAAGTTCTACTACTTGGGTTCAGGTAAGCCTACCTAATATTGGGGATTTAACAGTATCTACAATGAAGACTATGTACTCGATCATGGAATCGCGGCTCCATTGTTCGAACTTATGGCAGGTCTGCCTCAAACTTCATGAACCCAAATGAATTACTTCCATTTATATTAATCTATCTTAGTTCTAAAACCTATATTTGTTTTCACAAACGTCGTGTCACTTGACCATTGAATGAAGTTAGATGGGCGCCCGATGAGTGGAGATATCGGACAAGGTGCCACAAGGGAAACCATTGCCTTTTCTGCTCAGTTAGCTCTTTCCAATGATCGTCCTCCCGGTTTGTGTACAGTTCTCGTCCCATGAGGCTTGTATTCATGTCAATTCACCAACAAGCTTCTTGTTTCCTCTTCAGGCTTCCTTCAACTGGCTGGTGGCACCAATTTGCACACTGTTGATGGCTTGAAGAAAGAAAACCTTTTTCAATCTACATCAACTCCAAGTAAGTTTGATACTTCACCAATTTACAGTTTCACCATGCCTGTTTTTCAATCTTGATCAAATATTTCCATTTCCACATTTAGCGACTTTGATGAATGAAGAGTTATCGGCAAAATCGTCCAGCTCAATGCATGCTTTGATTGGTGGCATCGCTTATGGGGGCTATGCCCGGAAAGTAAGTTAGTTCATTGACGTTGCATACATATTATCACGAAGTTTGAATTTACAAGTTCGAAAGTCTTCTCTATAATTAATGTAAAATATGTTGTTCAGATTGTTGGAAGGGTTTTGAGTTCAATGCAGAAACAGAATGGAGATGCCAATATTGAAAACTATCCTGACTATCTCCTGGCTGCACTTGGGGAAGCCTTAGCTTTGGTGGGAACTGTCAAATGTTATGACCCTTCTCTGTTAAGCTCAGCAAAAGTTAAAAGCTGATCCTTAAGGGCCCGTTTGTCAGTTAGTTATTGCTTGATTTTTGTATATATTGATTAGATAGTTCCACAATACGTGAAAAAATATCTCTTTGGGAATTATATAAATATTCCCCTGCACATGGCAGATAATCAATAAATATCTTTTTTTTTTTTTTGTATCATTTGCTCTGCTCCGAATCCAACAATAACGTTCATGTTTCATATTTCTTGTTTCTAATTTTTTTAAAATATAGTTTTTTGGTAATTGTTTCTTACCCTAACCTATGAGCTTAAGCTTTTAGGTTCATTGGTGATTACGTTTAAACCCCTAACCTATGAGSTTAAGCTTTTAGATAATAGTATTATTTTATCATCAAGAAACAGTTGCCAAATGATAAATCTCAAGGGATACGTGTAAGAAAGTGAGAAACAAAAAATAAGAATAGGAAATGAGAAATAAGAAACAAAAACGACGGAAACAACCTTTAAATTTATGATTCCTTTCAAACCCTTCTGTTTTGATACTTCAGTTATCTGAGTCGTTTTTTGGCCAAAGGACCACTCCAACAACGAGCTCAAGAAATCTCAAGGGAGGGACTCAATAGATCAATATTCTGCCATGGAAGGTCAGTTGAAGCAGCGACGGATTATACTAATACAAACTATCATGTTAATCCAAGAGGTAAATCTCTCTCACACTAATAAATCAACATCCAATCTCTTCAGCAATCAAAATAGAATAACCCAACATTTTGATCCACTTTGATTTGGATAGTTAGCTGCAGCTGCCAGCTACAGTGATCTCAAGTTTCTGCAACACATAAATTCAACCATATGCTTGGCTCTGAAAAGTAATCTCTCTGATAATGGGTTGTTTGATATTTCTCTTTCTTGTGGAAGCAAAGTTCACAATAACCAAATAATAACTGAGAGTGGGCAAAGACAAAAATGCATTCCTGAAACATGGAAATTAAAGGCAACACGGTGTGTCGTTTAGGGCATTTTTGAACTCTCTTGAAAGCCACGCTTATATTTCTCTCTTTCTCCTTCATGCACAACACAAGTTTTTTTTCT